GCCCGTGGCCGGGGCCGGGCTGGGGGGTGAAGCGCAGCAGCAGCGCTCGACCAAGCTGTAGGCCCCGGCCCAGCGCCTGTCGTACCGCCATGGTGGCACCGCGGCCGGGTCCCGCCGCCACCCCCTACCCCGCCACCACAAGCGTCCGGGACACCCGTCACAACAAACTTCGGGGGCGGTGCCCTTGCGCAGGCGCGGGCGCCGATGGGCGGGACAGGTGCCGGTGGCTGGTGCCGGTGGCTGTTACCCAGTTCGGCGCGCGAGGGCGCTGTGAGCGCACCTGCGCCATGCCCCACCTGCGTCCTGGGTAGTGCTTGCCCCTTTGCACTTTGGGCCCAGGTGGAGAGGTTGCATGTTCGGGCAGATCTTGAACGTGAGCATCTCTGGTCCTGGGCAAAATCGAGAAATTGGGAAGGGAAAGTAATGTTTACTGTAAACCACCCGCCAAACCCTTTACATCTCTTAATGTATTTAACTCTCCACCAGTGAGATAGGAATGCCATTTTATTTAAGCATCCGCCAAAGTATCTGGTCACACCTTGATCCCCTTCTTCCAGTCTTCAGTGCACTGAAATCTGGGTACTCTCGCCTTGTGCATGCTTCAGATCGCCGAGGCAGGGAATTCAAACTGCAGTAGCTTGTTTCTCTTTCTCTTTCTCTTTCTTCGCTTCTCTCTCTCTCTCTCTCTTTAAAGATTTATTTATTTATTTATTTATTTTTAATTTGATCAGAGAGAGAATGGGAGAAAGGAAAAGTGAGAAAGCAAGTCACCCGATTTGCAAACCATGGATAGCCATGTGGGAATCCAACGCTTTAACCACCACACCATACCTGCTGGCCCCCACGTCCTGCTTCTCTTGAGCGGAGCTCTCATGCCACAGAGCCAGCATGTAATTTTTTTTTTTTTGAGAGATTTTTGCTATTTGGCATGTATGCTTGCCAGAGAGACAGAAACAAAGAGGCAGTGAGAAATCCCCTGGGGTGGGTGAGGGAGGTGGGGGGCATGGCCACGCTGCAGTCCCTTCTCCATTCTGTTTTTGAGATTTTTGGGCACACGCGCACACAAGCCTGGTGTGAGTTTTAAGCCTCCAGGTCCGGGACTTGAACCATGGTCAACTACGTGGGAGTCCAGTGAAATAACCATTACAACCATCTGCTGGTCCCAGGAATGTCTTTATTTATTTTTTTTTTTTGGAGAGGTTTTTGCTGTAGGGCGCGTGTGCTCGCCAGAAAGACAGAGAGACAGAAAGTGAGAAATCACCCCCCAGGGGGGATGGCCACAACGCAATCCCTTCTCCTCCATTCTCCTCTCGGGATCTTGGGCATGCAAGCACATGCGCCTGGTGTGAGTTTAAGCCATGGGGTCCAGGACTACGTGGGAATCCAGAGACATAGCCATTATGCCATTTGCTAGTCC